CACTTCTCCTTCTCGGTACCCTCAGGGTTCATGGCGCTCAGGAAGCCAGACGCATCTTCTGTCACCTGCTTACGAAGTACTTCGCTTGCTGGGTTCTCGAGTAGCTGTGCAAAGAAGCGTCCCTGGGTCTGGTCCTTCAAATTGGGTGCGAAGTAGTCCCAAGCCTCCTTGGGATACATACAGAGGTACTTGATCAACGGCTCTCTGAAGGGGCTGTAGTGCGTCCTTCTAAGAGCCGTCTCAAGCTCGATAACCTTCTCGATGATTTGCTTGAGGAACGTCGCAGCGGCCGCCGGGAGCAGGTGGAAGATGTTGAAGATACCGGTGACGATCTTCATCTTGGGATTCTGCTCGATCATAGTGAACGAGATCTTCTGCAGACTGTTCTGGTCCGCAATGCTCTTAAGGTGATCAAGGAGACGTGTGCCAATCTCCACCTTGAAGTAGTTTGTGAGGAGCTTCAGCAACCGTGCCAGACCGTCAAGATTCTCGACAGAGAGCTTCCTTGGATCCTGGAGGTTGACAAGGATAGGACGAAGTCCACTCTGGAGGACATCTTTGGGCAGTTTGTTTGTAGCTGAGATAACGCCAGATAGGCCGATGTTCGCCGCCTCAATCACTTCTGGAGACTTCGAATACAGGCACTTGAAGAAGACAGCGATAATGCGGAGGAAGGTCTGGTTCGGCGGTGTCGTGCTAAACTCAGGGAAGGTTTGAGCGGTGGAGAGGAGACGGATGCATGCAACTCGTAGGTTGACGATGTGATCTGCGTTCCGCTGCTCAAAAGGCTTACTTGCCAAGTGCTCGTCTTCGGCGTCGGCTAGTGCCAAAGACTCCATCAATAATCTCGTCAGTTGTTCGTTGAACTCGAGGATGTTGTTCTTGAGCTTCAAACAGAAAGTGATCGCGTCAATGTAGGCAATCTGAATACTGAACGGTAGTGCTCGCAGCGGCTTGGTCCAAATCGGTAAGATGAGTCTATCCTTCACCGGCGTGATCAGGTCGCTGACGCTCAACTCGGTCACATCTGACAACACCTGGAACGCCTTCTGGGTTGCGTCTCGCACACTCTTGTTCATATGCGAGAGATCACCCACGAGCTGTTGGCAGAGCTTCAGGGTAATGTTGTTGCCCTTATCGAAATCTTCCTTGGTCGTCTTCTTGTGACAGCGTCGGATGAGGTCTTGGATGAGGCCCTCTGCTTGTATGCGCGTCTTCGAGTCGAGATCGATAGGCATGTCCTTCATGACAAAGTTGAGTGCCCTAACAAGTTCGAAATGGCGGGGTACGAGCCATGATTGGGGAAGACCCAGTTGTTTGATCATGATTTCAATACCCCGAGTTCCGCCAGACTTCATGAACCAGTCATCAGCATGACAGTTGTGGCAAAACGTACTTGACAGCTCATTGAAGAACACGAACTTGTCCAAGGAACTATCATTGCCGAAGATTGCCTTCGTAGCATCGCGCATTGTGATGATGGCTTGCTCAGCAGCGTCCCGCACTGCGCCGTGTTCTGACGCCAGAGACTCGCCAATAGCTTCAGAGATGACATCGCTCTCGATCACGACAGGCCCTTCTCCTGAATGCACATCGAACGGCTTGTTCTTGTGTTTCAGAGTGGCAAATTGCGTTCCAAGCTCCAGAAGCGTGAAGTGCTTTGCCAAGTTGCTTACCAGAGCCTCCGCTTCCGACTTCAGCTCAGGTACCGAAACAGCAAAGATGCTCGCCTTCAGCAGTTTCTTGAGAGTCTCTTGTTCTACAGTCTTCTTGGTGATGGACTTTTCGCGCTCTGATGCGGTGAGGATGTCGTATCCCACATCAAACTTCTTGGCACACAAGTCGTTCGCTTGCAGGCGTACTAGCTGGGCGAAGTCTTCTGGCAAGCTGTCGAAACCGACCAGCAGCTTCGTATGTGCGGTGATGAGGCGAAGAGCCTGTTGCTTATGGAACGTGTCGGACTTTTTGGCTGCTGGAGTCTTTGGGATTTCGTGGAGCTTCGCGATGGCGGTGTCGATGCCTATCGCTGCGGGGAAGGCACGGTCTTTGGTAGATCCAATGAGTCGAATGTCAATAGATGACTGATCATCAGAGTACGGTTTGAAATCCAGCTCTGGTGGGCCAGTGATGAACTTGCGATTGCGTCCGCCTAGCTTTCCAAGAATGCGCATCGTGGTATGAGCGTGGAAGTGGCTGTACGGGTTAGGCTTCAGATGCTCCCATAGTGCAGCCATCAGCTCGTCGATGACTGGGGCCATGATCGGGTCCAGATAGTCGGCGGTGAGATTGTCCACGCAGAGCTCTAGAGTACGAAGACCCTGACCGACAAGATCCGAGCCAGCACGCAGAGCAACGACCAGTGGCCTCATCAAGTAACTGAGATGTGGCAACAAGTTACTGAGTCGTGCTGGCACTGTGAGAGATAGTTCAACGAAGAGATCCCTTTCAGCCGGCTTGCGCGCCGTCAAAAGAAGGTTGTTGAGCACGTCGAGTAGCATTTCCAGCAGGGGAAGAATTTCTTTGTACAGATGCTCGAATCTACCGCCACCAATACTTCTGAACAATGACCTAAGCAGGAGGAAGTAGTTCATGGGTTCTTCGGCAGTCGTGGATAGCTGAATCGACTTCGTTATGATCTTGCTGACGTGTGGTAATAGCACTTGCTCATTCTGGGCAGAGAAGAGCGTAACGGCCATGAAGGAAAGTTTGAAGAGGCGAAGGAGGATGGAGGACTTCTTCACATCGGCAGTGCCAACCTCTTCGATTCGGTCCATAAGAAATTGCAACAGCATCCCCGAAAAGCTGGGTGATGTAGCCTCGGAAGCGAGAAGGAACTGTGGAACGTGAAGTAACGCCGGGTGATCGAACATCATATCGTACAAATGGGGTATCTCGGATGAAAACACTTCGTGGAACGTGGCTGGATCGATGTGGTGGAAGACAGTCGCGAACGTCTCCAAAAGGTCCTTCTCTTCCTTGCCACTCGACATCATATGTTGGTTGCCCATGAAATCTCCCGGTGACAAGCCTTGTGTTTCAGGGGTCTTTTCAGTACCGTAGTAACGGAACACCTTGGCACCTTCGCGGAAAAGCTTGATAAGAACTTCCACCTCTTCCGCGTTGTAGCCAAACGACACTTCATGCCAGTTTGCAGACGCGTTGGTCGGATCAATCTCGTCCTTGATCTTGGCTGGGTTGCAGGCTCTTAGCTGATAGAAAAGATTCTTCAGCCCATGGAGTAGGTTCTTGAACAGGAACTTGTTGTCGGCGATGGGATCGGAGCTCCGGTCTCGTGGATTGGACGTCTTGATGGGTGTCGCGTTGGAAATGTCGATTTCGTCCCAATCCGGGGGGTTTTCCTGAACGGCCATGTGGTTCTCGTCGACCGCATCAATGGACGGTTGGCTGTACTGAGCTGAGAGCTTGACAGCATTGTGGTATTGTCGGTTCATTGCCGCGAACTTGTCACCGATGGCATTCAGTATCATGATCAAGAAGTATCGCGCGTCCTCCTTAGGTTCCAATTTCGCGATGCACTCTGCCATGTTCAGCAGAAGCTTCGCGCTCATGGTCTGGAAGCTGGTTCCGGGAAATGTGTCGTGCAAATTCTTCGTGTAAACCTCAACTGTGCGTCGGATCTGCTCTTTCGACAGAGATTCTCGCAGATGGTGGATTAGATCGGCCAGCATGCTGTATGCGAGCGGACGCATGGTCTCGTACACTGTCAGGCCATCTCCGATCAATGTCTTCTCGTCCAGTAGCTCGTCAATCTTCTTGAGGAAGATTTTGCGGAAGTTGAAGTTGATGATATGCCTAATAGCGACTAGTAGCTCTTTCCGTGCGCCGGACTTTTCGCGTGGACAGTCCTTGAGCAGTCGGACGACGATATCAGGAAGGGTCGGAAGGAAGTCGTTCAGCTGGTTTGCATACACCCTAAGTAGGTAAGCCAGAAAACTCATGGTTTTAACCTGAGCTGTTATGAAGTCGCCAAATGCCGCGCGGTTGCGAATGTCTTTGCTGACACCAGTGAAGATCTTGCCCTGCGCCTTGGCCTCCTCATGTGCCTTCTCTTGTGGCTTCGCCTGAAGCAAGAGTACGTTCTTGATCAGTGGTACAAAAAGTTTCACGTTTTTGTTCACACAGTTCCTGTAGGCCTGGAATAGAGATACCACAATTATTGGACACTCTGCGAGGACCTTGAACGACTGCATTCCCTTGAGCAGCATGCGCGTTTGCTGGTGTTCCGATCCAATATCCCCTGCGGATCCAGATGTGAGGGCAGTCGCTGGCGAGCTCGGGCGTGGGGACTGGGAGAATTGGTGGTTGTTCGGGGTGGAAGGAACGCCTTGCGAGGCTGAAGCTGTCGTGTTGCTGTCGAAGGTATCGTGCACCGCCTGCTCCATCGTCTCGAACATTTCCTGAATCAGATCCAAGAATGGCTGAACTCGGTCCGCGAGCGCCTTGGTTTGGTGGCGCTGAAAGTCCATGATGGTCTTCATGCACAGAACCGCATTGTCCTCGTTCTCCAGCTTCACCAAGCTCATGAGTTTGTCGACGATCTTGGCCGCGTGCGGTTCTATGGCTTCGGTCGGGTTCATCGGAAGACGGTGCAGGATCTCGAGGACACAGTTCCGTATGCGCTGTTTCTGAGTCAGAAGGCTGTAGAGTTGTCGCAAGTCGTGCGCTCACCTGTTCGGGCGACGTGGAAATGAAGACTGGGTTGCCATCTAATATCTTGAGGAACACAGGGACGAGGTGATTCAAGAACGAGGCGTACTGCTGTCCTTGACAGTAGTTCTCAATGTTGTCCCGGATTTCGATCGCCTGGGTGCCCTTGACTCTGAGATCTGCGCCAGTCAGCCGATGTTCTCTTGTGATGATGCGCGCGCATGTTGTGGGCATGCAGCGCGCGCAATGTATTGTGTACCAGAGTTTGGGTCGTCCAACTTGGAGGCCATAGCCTCGAAGTTGTGAGTCGCCATGGCGATGTTGCGTGCAGCCTACAGCCGCTCCTCCACCTTGTCGAAGTCCTCGTAGACTGTGCCCTGCAATGGCGCAGCTATCCAGTATGTGGCGCGATCAATGTAGCGGAAGACAGGCGCATTGGTCTCGGTGGCACGCGGTGGTGTGCGGAATCGGGTGCAGGTCGCTGCTGTGTCGAATATTAAATTTTGAAAAGGAAGGTGCAGGCGGGATGGCCTATATGGTCATTACAATCGTTATTGTGGAAGTGAGGCCTGGTGGTGGGGCGAGGGCGCGTCCCGAGTGCGGGTATGGAGTCGCGACTTGGAGTGATGGATGAGCTTCTGCAGAGCACTTAGCCTGGAGCTGACGAGCGAGGGAGGCACGCCGACCCCCAAAACTTAGCGCGTCGCTCTCATTGGTCGGCGCCACCCCTGTGCGCCGTGCGGGTGGCACCTTCCAATCCATGTCCGGCATATATCCAACAGTCATCTCTCCACACCAGACTTCAGCTGGTTCTGGCAACCTGGTGTTGATGTGTGCTTCTTATGTGATTTGGGACGTGATGGATATTATTGAACGCGATTCATCGCGCCACCATCTGCAAATGAATATGCGAAACTCCTGCAGAGCCGCAGCCGCAACGCATTTCTTCCAGTGCATGCTTCGGCGGACTAAGATCACAACAAAAACTGCGTTCAGAAGTTCACGGGTCAGATGGGACTTGCTGCAAGATACAAACACTATACATCTATCCAACTACCTGCCGTCGCCTGACTCACCCTTCATAGCCTCCCAATCATATGCAATTCTGCGGTTATCTTGTGTGAAACAGAGAACATCACCATAGTTATACAAGGCCACACATCCACGTCCGGTCTTCCGTCTAAGATAAGAAATAGAAAGGTTGACATTTACATTGTTGGAGAGGCGCACCATGGTATTCGATGTCAAAATGTGGGGGCGGGAACATGGGGATAACGAATATGCGCAGCCTGATCCTCTGATCTCTACTTCTCATCGGGGTACATGGCCTCCTTGAGAGGAATGCCGAGCTCCTCGCGTATGGGCTCGAGCTCCTGGAGGTACTCTGCGTATTGACCCTTGTTCTCGACCTTGAACTTGATACCTGTGACGTATGTTAGTAATCAACGTCTCAAGGTTGGCCGGATGCCGAAGTAGCGTAGTCCAGAGTCCGTTTGGCTCCCTTTTGTGTAGAAAGAGACAGGACTGATATTGGGAACGTAGTAGAAGACGTACCCTCGAAAACCCGGACAGCTGAGGGGAAGTCGTTCACGCGCCTGGCAGCGCGGAGAGCGGCGGTGATGACGGTGGTTGAGGGAACGAGATCGTAGGCGAAGCAGTTGTTCAGGTTTCGCTGGCGATTGTCAGCCTATTGACTCTGTTCGTGGCATCCCACAGTTGCCCAACCCATGTCGGGTGATACCGGTGGGGTCACATCGTGGAGACAACAACGTACCTGAAGCTCGAAAACGTCGTTCACCTTCTCGAATTCCTTCTCATATCTATATTGAAGAAGCACAAGTCAGCGATGGAGCTCGTCATATCCTCAATGGCGCTCAATGGCTGTCCATGATCTCCGCATGACTCCTGCCCGTCCGACTCTACAGCCCCTCCTCGGATTGGTCGTACCTGGCGGTGAATTCCTCGAATGTCTCCTCGGCATGCGCATCGCTCTTGCGGACAGCCGACTGCGAGAAAGCACGCTGGGTGTTCAACGCAACAGGGGTTGCTCGGTAGGCCGGGACTCGCACGCCCACTCGGCTGACCTTCGACGCGGCGCGGACGAAGGACATGTTGCGATTTGGAGAGCTACTGGCAAGCTACGGGAGGTGGATTCGGGGCTGCTGGGCGTGCGTAGCCGGCAGTGTGTCGATGAGTAGTGGTGTCGGTGGTGCGATTTCGCGTGAGGTTACGAAAACGAAAGCTCAGGCGATCCGAGTTGCGCCCAAGCCAAGCCGTCTTAAAAGTGGGTCGCACCCGTTCCTGAGACTGACGGCATAGTCGCGCTGCCGCACTTAATCATATAAATCACTGTTGAAGCATTCTTCAAATTCTAACCTGTATCTGAGTTCTCTTCATGCGCGTGACATCGCCTTTTTAGGCAATGCACGCCATTGTCTTTGAAGGTCCTTGAACAACGCTCCCAGCTATCTGTAGACAGGATTGAAGAAGCTAGATAAGAGAACAGCTATGAACGCGAGAACCAATATATTCTGGCTTTCATCCACAAGTGCTCACGCTTTCATAGAAACACTCGGAAGGTTTATACCCTGTAATAACCGCCAAACGGGACTGGTCCCTCTGATGCTGCTCGGACGGACATGACTGGGCTGTCGCTGTCGTCATCCAGCTCTGAGCTGCCAGACAGATCATCGTTCCTGCCACCGGCCTGTATCTCTTCGTCTTCGTCTTCATCCACCTCGCCATCTTGATCATCCTCGTCGTCCTCCGCATCCCCGATGTCAGCGTTCAGAAGAGTATCTGGCTGTACAGGATCTTCGGTCATGTCCTCCGGAACCTCGACGTCGTCTGGCGCCTCGTCTCCGTCAGCGTGGTTTTCTGGCTCATCAGTCTCCTCCATTTTCTCGAAGGCGTAGCGCGGATTCCTTGCAGCCCAACGCACGTTGTGCATCACTTGGTGTTCCCTCCTCTTCTCGTGGTGTGTGTGACGGTCGTCGACTTCACTCTTGTACTGCGCTGCCATTTCCTTATCGTCCCACAGCTCAGGCCATTCGACGATACGCTGATATATGCTATCATCCGGTTTGTCGCCGCCAATAATTGCGTTCATCTTGTCCTTCAGAATGACCGTTGCTTTGGCCCAAGTGCCAACGTGATACCACCCTTGGAAGGTGGGTGCACAAGTTGATCGAATGTCCTTTGTAGCCAAAACCTTCGCAATGAGAGGATCGGTAATATCGCAGAACTGGAAGAGGTTGCCTGTTCGCGAAACATTGACACCATCAAATGTGTGCTCAGTCTCCAACTCTTCCGGCGACATCTTTGCTAGCTTCAAGACATGCTGATCGAAGACCGCGCGGTGCTTTGATGTGCCTGACTTGATGTAAGACAGGAAAGACACAGTCTGATACTTGCGATATTCAGGGTCTTTGCGAGGATCGACTCCCCAACGGACAAGAGCCTCTCGCCAGGGCCCGCTTTCGAAGAAGAATCCGCAATAGATGGCTGCTTGCCGAAGCTTGGTTCTCTTGTCCCATCCCAGTCTGTTGTAAAGTAACTGCCGGGTTACTATGGGTCTCTGTAAGAGCAGAGTTCTAATGTTTGCAATCAGTGACTGCATATAGGGTGAGAGATCTCTCTCTGTTGGAAGACCGGGTCGGGGTCCTGTCGGTACATGTTCGTCTGTGGGTTTGACAATTGTGTATGCGTTGTAGGCGAGGCTTCTTTGTATATTGACAACACCTTGATCGGTGTATTTGACGTTTGAGTTTTGCTGGAACCGATAGTTGAAGGCGATTGGCATCTGTATGAACTCTGGCGATGGCCCAACGCTTTTGGCCAGATCTGCACCGGCCGCGGTGTTGACATTATACTTCAACAACTGTTCGTCTAGGATGGATTAGTGACATTTTGAGTGTGTTGGGATTAGTCTTACATCGTTTTGGCAGGACGTGGTCTCGCAGACCCACCATGGTCTCGTTGTGAGAAGCAGCATACTGCAAGTCAGGCATATCTGGAGAGTCAGTGATGGTTCCACAGAGTTCAAGATTGTGCTCGACTCACTTCGGAACCGATGAGTTTCATCTACGACTCCGGCCAGAGCAACCTTGTACATCGAGGCATTGTCTTGCAGGCTCCTGTAGATAGTTGGTGCATCCACATACGTCTTGTTGGTCAAAGTGATTTCATCTTCAGTAAGGAATGGCCCTGTGGTTCCACGCTTTCGTTTGCGTCCTGTCCGTTTTGGCACCGTGACCTTGATGAGAAGGTTGTTCGTCCTCACAGGCGTGGACAGCAAACGCTTGGCAAAGGGGTCGTCTGGGCGCAGCGAGACAGAGATGAGTTTCTTGAGCTCGTCGTCACCCTCGGCGTTGGTCGTGGTTTCCAATCGTGATCGCAGGCCCTGGGCGAGTGTTAGTCCCTCCCAAAGCGGTAGGCACTGCTATTGCCGGCTGACCTTGCTTAGTTTGACAGGCCCACCTAATGAGGTAATGCCCTTGTCAACGTTTTTGATGATGGCGGGATGCTCGACAACGGAGACGGCACGTGACGGGATGGGCAGCCAGGGCGCATGCTCGTTCTCGGTCGACATGGCGTTGTCCATATTGGGTTACACGGTGGAGAGGTGCAAGCTCAAAACGCTCTGGCGGTGAGATTCACGAGAGTTTGTAGTCGCTCAAAGCTTTCTGTCTACTTCGGCCGGACTATCTGGGTACGCCCGTGGTAGGTGTTCGAGAGACAAGTGATGAGACCCTGGGCCAGTGCGAAGCCCGTCGCCGCTTCTCTATAGAGACAGGGATCGATCTCGCGATGACTCTCGTGCAAAGCGCCAGATCAGATGATACGAGGCTGCCGCGGACCCAGCAGCGGAATAGTCTCCCGTCTCTCGCGCAGTCGCTCCCTTGACACGCCCGCCGTGCTACTTCACTCTCGCAGCTATCCTGGATGTCGTGACGGCTGCGGCGGGGCTTTTGGCCCAAACGCACGGCCTCGCTACGGGACGGCTAGCGCGAATCACTCGACGCTGTCTGTCTGGCAGCAGCCCTGAGTTGTCAGTTGACGACCTGCTCCAACTTGTCCCTCCAGCTCCAGAATACACGCCTCTCCCTCAGCCAGAGCGCCGATACGTCACCAGCAACTTGCTAGGGCCCCGGCTGCCGTCTGACCCCCCCTCGCGAAGCTGCTCCCTCCACCGACTCCCCGTGCACCATCCTAGACGGCTACACTAGCCACCATCTATTACCTCACGCGTCTCTCCTCCATGTCGGCCTGAGCCCTACGCTCTCCTGTGTCCGATTCCCCGTGTGTGCGCCTGCCATCTAGTTTCCATTGGCGCTATCGGCTTGCGACCTGTCCCCCGACGCCTCGAGGCCAGCCGCCATCTCGGACGCCCGTTTCTGCAACACCGCTGCGCTTGACCTGGCCGTGGGCGCATTCCGTCAGCCATGAAAGGCTTCAGGCAGAGGGTCGTAAGTGCTCGTCCTCCCCATGGACCCCGGCCACACCACGCACCCCCCTACCCCTCTCTATGCGCGGAGGCTAACATGTATAGTCCGAACAGCTCTCTCGAAGCAAGGATAGCAAGTCATCTAAGAAGAAGGACTCCACCTCGGGAACTGCATCGCCGTCGCTGGGTGCTTCCAACTCCCCCTCGGGCTCTGCCCAGGCTACGCCTTCCTCGTCGCAGACGCAGCTCACCGATGCGCGAAGCAAGAGCCAGCCCGCCGCCGATGGCGCTTCGGCCAACATTGGGTCGCTACAACAGAACCCCCAGCCCTCGTCCGGTTCCCTCGCGGGTGGACCCCAATCTTTCGGCGGACAGGGCATGATGAGCCCCGGTGCTGCTGGTAACGCTGGCGCTGCAGGTCCAGGCACGCCCTCTAGGCTGGGGCAGCCCCTGGCACCCAGCGTCGTCATCAGCCCAAGCGCGCCTGTAAGTACCCGCGCATCAACCGATATGTGTTTGGTAGGCTAACCAGTGCCATAGCATGTGCCTCCTCCTGGCGCTGCCGAGACGATGCCCGGTGATCTTGCGCCTCCAAAGGCGGGCCAGAAGTCGGGAATATTCGATCGTCTTCAAGCAA